TTATTTTTAGGAAGCTGTCCAAATAAGCTAAAACTTAAGATATCACAACCTCCTTTCTCTCTTACCTGGAATGTATGGAATTTGAACTGTAGTCTTCACTTGACTCCAAGCTTGGCACATGGTACTCATTGAGCCTTGGAAAGCTGTGCATTTTCCTCTGTGTTTGCTCAGCAATAGTTACTTGCTTATATTAAGGATGCTGTGAGAGCTATAGGGAGATTTTAGACATTATCTAAATATTCAAAGTTTTGCTATTCATTTCTGGCCACAGAGTTACTTGTTGGACTATCTAAACTCTAACGAATTCAGTAGTGTTTGAAATCTTTGCTGTCGTGAGTTGCTGTGAAGCCAACTCCAACTCATTGTGAGCCCCTGTACAGCAGAATGAAACATTGCCTGGTGCTCCACCATCCTCACAGTCTCGGCATGTTTGAGCCCAGCGCTAATACATATGTATGTAGCCTTTAGATTCCAAGAAGATGATGCATGTCATAATTTTCCTGGGGCTGAGCCTGCCAATTTTGTACTTTGCTTCTTTGGCATGATCTTATTTATTTATTTATATAAGTCTGTTTCTGTCCTTGTGTGCTTTCATGGCCCTGGCCCAACATGTCATAAGCTGAGTAAATGCAGTCTAATCTGGTGTGACTTCAAGTTCTGTGTGCATGGACTCTTGGGAATTTGTAACCTGTTCATCTCTTTACTAGATGTTTTAGAAATTCCAATTAATGGCTGAAATTTTCACAGGTAAAAAGTGAAGTGAATAAACTGTACAAACTGCTTGAGATAGATATTGATGGTGTTTTCAAGTCTCTGCTCCTCCTGAAGAAGAAGAAATATGCTGCTTTGGTGGTTGAGCCAACATCGGATGGGAATTATCTCACCAAACAGGAACTGAAAGGATTAGATATAGTTAGAAGAGATTGGTGTGATCTTGCTAAAGACACCGGAAAGTGAGTTTTGCTTCCATTTTTGCTTTTCTTGTTTGTCCTTTTGAAAAACGAAGCCGCTAATGACATTGTGAAAAGCACCTCTGGGTCTGCCAAGTAGAAGAACACACTTTCTTTTATGTTATAGTTATTATTATTTTTATTACATATTGATAATTCTTACCTACTTGGAGTAAAATTTTACAGATAGATTAAAATTCAGAGAGAACCAAACTGGCTCAGTAAGAAATGTAAGATACATTTTAGGACTTTTCCTTGAGTGAGATTACACCTTCACATTTGAGGTCTAAGTACCGTGGCGTTTGTTCAGACTCATAGTGACACAGAGCTGCTTATGTTGGTGTCCGTTTGTTTCTGTTTCATTTTGCATTACTGTTACTATTAGAAAGTGCCTTGTGTTATGTTCCTGAATCATCCTGGAGCCTCTTTAGGATCATAATGGTTAAGGTAATCCTGTTTTGTGGCTTAAAGTGTTCTGAGATTGGCTATGGGCTAAAGTGGTGGGCTATGGTGTGAAACTTTGTCTCCCCCACCCCCACTCCCCAATCATTTGTGTGTATAAGATTACTGCTAATTGAAATTCTTGAGCTAGTTCTCAAATAGTTTACGGTAGAAATATTAAATGTTATAGGTTGATCCCCTAGCTTTGCATCTGATACTGAAAACTGTGATAAGACCACTTTTTTGTGGGGGGTCATATTAATTTATAAAGTACCCTTGTAAAAAAAGGAGTTTTTAGTTACTTTATGTACCATCTTTCACTTACTACTGTTTTGAACAATTCTGCAAGTAGAAGAATTTTTTTTCTTTAAGACTAAATTATAAATTAATATTGTCAAGTATCAGCATTTTTCACTTGTTTTCCCATCTTCCTCTTGCTTTCAAAGTTGGGAGGCTGAGCAATTGTTGCTTCTGCAAAACTACTCTTGATTAGGCAAAGATGATCATCTCAGTATAGGTCACTGTTAGTCTTTTATGAAACATAGTTTGAAATGCTTCATTGCCCCCAAATGTACCCAAAGATGAAACTACTTTGTATAGCCTGTCGATTAGAGTGTTCTCTTCAGCTTTGTGTTTTCTAAGAAAAGATGCATCATAATAGAAGTAAATTTCTCTGAGTTAGAAATGTATTAGTAATTAAAGCTATACAAATGTTTTTGTCAGGGTTCTTTTTCTGACAAATTGTAATGCAGCTGTCAAATCCTCGCTCTGCATTTTCTCAGAAATGGATAAAATATTGGCGTCCTTTTTTTTCCTTTTGGTCTGATAGAATGACATGACGTTTTTCAGGGATAGCATAAGGTTGGGCTTCAAAGCATAATGAAGCTAAAGAAAGGAAAGTTTGAATTCATTGTTTTATTTGAATTTAAGAACTTTCGATTTCTACCAACTTAGCCAATGGTTATTTCAGGCAGAGTTTTAGATAATATTTTGGTGCTTTCTGAGGAAAGTGAAATATTTGTCTTCTAAAATTTTCACTTACATTTTATTAAATATAACTGCTTGTGAATTTTGTGATTACATAAGGCTGTAATGCATGGCATATCTTTCTCCATCTGAATTTGTATACGACTTTAACTGCTATATTAAAAAACTGTAAGTTTAAGGGCAACTCTTATATTCCTAGGTTGATAAACCTTTAATGGAGTTAATGTTTTTAAAAAAAAAAAAAAAAAAAAGTAACTGCTTTTTGGACATTGACCCTTATATTAGCTCTTGTTCACATGTTAATCTAATGGTGCTCATCTTCATTTTTACTCCTTTATGAATTTCATAAAGTGTGATACTGAACAATATTTTTCCCTCTCTTTTTTGCAGCTTTGTCATTAGTCAGATTCTTTCTGATCAAAATCGGGACACTATAGTGGAAAACATTCAGAAGCGGTTAATAGAAATTGGAGAAAATGTGCTAAATGGGAGTGTCCCCTTGAACCAGTTTGAAATTAACAAGGTAAATGTGGCATTTACTACTAAACATAGCTGCTGTCATGTGTGTTGCTCCTCCTTCAGAACCACTTCATTCTTGCAATGGAAATGAATTCTGGCTGAAAACTGCTATCACTGATTTCACATAGCGTTTTCCTGTAGCCACAGCTATTGCTGTACCTTTGAGAGAGGCCTGCTTTCTTGTGTGTGTGTGTGTGTGCGTGTGTGCGTGTGCGTGCATGCATGTGCATCTGTGTGTCTAACTTCACAGAAAGTGATCCTTAAACATACTACAATCAGAAGGCAGTTTTGGACATTCACACACACACCCCTCCAAATGTAGTAGCACTTTATGTGTAATGTGGTCAAGGCACTGTGCTTTCCTATTTCTTTTTAATGATATATGTGCATGGACTGCTAACCTCAAGGTTAGTGGTTCATACCCACCATCCACTCATCAGAAACCCTATACAGAGTCGCTATGAGTCTGAACCAACTCGATGGCACTTAGTAACATTTATATGTGTGTGTTGTTTTTGTTGAATGCTATCATTATATAGGGTTACCAAGGATGGCTGTTGGGTATGAAGTGCTAACCTTGCAGTGAGCAGTTCAGTGCTTATCCTACAGTGGTACATATTTCACTTCAAGTGCCACATATGTAAGGGTACTCTTTTTAAGTGAAAAAAAAAAGAAAAGAAAAATATTGTAACGTATCACCTTATTACACAGATTTTTGTTTTTCAAATTAGGTAAAGGAAAAAAAAAAATCCCTTATTTTCAACAACTATAAGACCACACTTTATGGATGGTCTTTGTTGTTGTAAGTGCCGTTGAGTTGGTTGCGACCCATAGTGACCCTGTATAGTGTTTCCAAGGAGCAGCTGATAACCTTGAACCGCTAACCTTTCTGTTCAAACTGACTTTGCAGTCCAGAGCATTAACCCACAGCGCCACACCAGGACTGGACTCTTGGTAGTTGAAAATAGGGAGTATTTTTTTTTTTTTTAATCTAATTAGGAATAATACATATATGATATATATTTTAAATGCTGTGTAATAAGCAGCGTGATATGTCCTAGTTTTATTTACTTTAAAAAAGCCTCCTTACATATTCCAGAAGTTAATTTTTCAAATACTATTTTAACCCATTTTGTGACAAGCAGATTTCAGTGTCAGAGCTCATACCTAAAAAATGTAGTAAGAAAGAATTTAATGATGACATTAGTGGAAATTTTAAAATAAAAAGTGATTCCCAAAACCCCTATGCTAAGGTAATGTTACTGTTTTAATATATATGTTCTTATTCTTGAAAACAGTTTTATAGTTTTTCAATTACAGTAAGTTTATTTATATATTTATTTTTCTTTAATTTTTAATTGAGTTTCAGTCTTAGAGGATGGGGGTTTGTCCTGAAGAGACTTGATTACTTGCCTTGATGGCTCCCCAGCGAACAACTTGCTTATTATGGTAGTAGTCAGTCATACTGCCATTTTTGTTTTGGGGTTTTCCTGATGATCTTTCTTTGAAGATGTATCTTTTGTCACTCTAGCTGTTCCAGGCTAGTCTGCTTGTCCTTTCTAGTGGGACTGTTCCACCTCAGAAGGTTCTGGATGAGGCTCAGGATTCCACCTGAGGTCCTATACACTACAAAGGCTCCTCAAGAGGCCCATTTCACTGGGCAAGTTGTAGTAGAACCCCTTTTAGGTATTCCAATCAGTTATAGGCTGCAGACAGGCTTACAAGCTTTCTGTAATCATGTTTCCCGACATTCCTTTCTGTCCCACTCAAGTGTCTATTTTACAATAGTAGGCAAAGGAAACCAATATTCATAAGACAGTCAAGCATCTTAGTATTATTTCTCCTCTTCAGACTATGCCTCAATCCCTGTATCACAGGTTGAGCATGCATCACTATTTACCTCTGTCCCATTTAGCCCATGCAAACCTGTCTCAGTGTTCCCCCATCTACCTTGTTCTTCCACCCCCTTCCCCTTCTTGTATTGCCCTCCTCAACACCCTAACTATCATGTGTTGCAATTTATTTTATCACTTTTAACTGAACATAAGCAAATATTTTCCACATTGCTGATTATTTTAAAAATCATCATATTACTCATCATGTTGATCTCTGTGTATCTTTATCTAAAATTTTTGTTTGTTGATCATCTAAAATATTTATTTTTGTTATAATCAAAACAGTATTGAACATACTTGTTCATTTATCTTTTTTGCTTTGACTGCATTGCTTTCTTAGTTTAGGTTCCTGGAAGTGAAATATTTGAGTCAAGGAATGTGACTATCTATATGGTTCTTGCCATATTGATTTGGAAAAGGGTAGTAGTAATTGATTATAGCAAAATGTATGATCAGTTTCACCAGAACCTTGCTTGTATTATCAATGATATTTTAATAAAAATTGGTTGCCAATTATTGATATGAAACCATATTTCATCTCTGATTTCTAGAGAGAATGAACATTTTTATTCTTAGGTGAGTTTTTTGTTTGCCTGACTTCAGCCATGACATTTTTAATGTCACAAAAGGACACATTATTTGTTCATGAAAAGACAATGGAATTTGTCCACACACTTTTGGAAGCCGTCTCACATTGGCATGGAATCACTTGGGTTCCTCTAGAAAATGGTTTCCTGTCAGATTTTATTTTGTCTCTTTCTTATAAATTTGCAAGAGTAAGAGTCGTGACTTCAGTATTCTTTTGATGAGATTTCACATTTTTCTGCAGATCGTATCCTTCTCAGAAATGTGCTCCAGACATGGTGTGGCTTTCTGATAATCTTTAACATTCCTCTCACTACTTAAGCTATTATTTTGTATTTTACCACTTTCAAAGGAGAGTGGAGTAAAGAGTATGTATATGTGACTGGTTGTGGATGGTTTTATGACAGGATATTTTTGTGATGCTAGTAGAGCTTTAAAATTACATGTTAGCTGAGTGTGGAGGCAGACATGAAGTGGTAGGATTTACCTTGGTAGAGATTTTAGCCCTTGTTTCCAAAAGCAACTGAAAAACACTGTGTGTGATTTTCTGAACTTCTGCAATCTTAGCTTAAATATATTTCATACTATATCAAAAATGTGTCATAACTGATTTCTTACAATTTTTTTCATTTTTTATTGTGGTAAGTATATATGTGACAAAACATTTGCCATTTCAAATTTTTTACATATATATAGTTTAGTGGAATTAATCCCATTCATCTTGTTGTTCAGCCATCACCACTATCAGTTTCCAAATTTTTCCATCACCCCAAAGAGAAGTCACAGCTGATTTTTATAACCCTAGTTAACTGGAGCCTAAACCAACAGGAAGCATTTTTGTTGTTGTTGATTTAATAAAGTCTAAAACTAGCTTGTGAAATTGCCAAATATCTCTAATTGATTAACTGGAAAGTCTATCAGTTAAAATATCTAATTTCTGGACCTTACAGTGAAGTGTATAGTATATTAAAGAAGATAACTGTTTTCTTTTGTAGCATTGTATTGTGGCTTAGTCCAAGTCATTCAAGATTTCGCTTAATCCAGGTTCAAGATAATTTCTTGAAATATGTCCTAGACCCTTTCCTATTTTGACTGTATGATGTAGAACGTATGTGCAGTCATGTTTGAAGACTCACTTTATTCGTCCAGTACAGCAGCCCTCAAGTTTCTTGCTCTCAGATCATCCTAATACTCTTCAAATTATTGAGAACAATAAAGAGTTTTTGTTCGTGTCATTTCTGTTGATATTTCCTGTATTAGAAATTAAAACAGATATTTCAAAATTATTTTATTTGAAAATGACAGTAAATGCATTTTATGAGTATACAAATAACATTTCTTTCCATAACAAGGACTATATCTTCTGAAATAAAAAGAGATGAACTAGAGGAGTGGCATTGTTTTCCCATTTTGCAAATCTCTGTAATTCCTGGCTGAGTAGAGGCCATCTGGAGTAGCACATCTGCTTCTGCATCTAGTCTGTTGTGATATATTGTTTGGATTGATGTATAGGAAGAAAACCCAATCTCAACAGATATGTGGTTTCCAAAATCACATTTTTTTTGTAACTTTTTTCCAAGTAGTTGTATATATTCTTTTTTGATCCTATACCTAAACTCTGCAAATTATGGTTTCTGAAGGGATATTTGGAATGTGGACTCTGAAACCATATCCGTGAACTTTTCATACTCTCTTAACATTCAGATCCATTGGTCTGAGAGTTTTACTTTGAATGAGTATTTTACCCATGCATGACATTATTCATTGGTCACTCGGAAAATGTTGGTTCACTGAGTTATGTAATTCATCCAAATGTTGACATATTTCATTGTTAAATATTTTTAAAATATCACATTTGTTAATATTGCTACTTAACCTCATCCAGAAAGTCTTTAAGAAATAGGAAATTATCAAACTCACAGAGGTAGGACTATGTTTTTCAAAATTGTAAGTTTTCCTTGAAAGCTGGAATTTTAACATTAACAGTATTTACTGTCAGTTATTTTTCTTGAAGTGGCAGGCTCACTTGATTCTTTTTCTTTTTTTAAAATAAGTAAATTGTCAGATTGTGACTGATACCCCTGTCAGAATATACCCGAGTCATAGTTGGCCTGTCATTCTTTAAAGTAAAAATTTTGTTTTAGGAAAAAGGCAGCTAGTTTAGCTTGCAACTCAAGTGCTTTTCTTGAAGCAATCATTGATCTTCTGTATGAAGCAGATGTGCTTGGTGCATATTTCCCATTTTATCATTCTGAAAACTAGACCTGTACTCAAGTGTCAAGAGTTTTAAATTGATTTTTTATTGCTTCAACAAGGATCTTACTTAGTGATGAAGAATAGAAGGGGTATCATACAGTCTGGTACTGCTGCTGCCCCGATTCATGTTTGAGTGGTATCACGTTTCCACACCATTGCTTCTACGTCATTACTGTATGTGGTGTGGTTAGAAAAATCGTTTTCTGCAAAATCACAAAAAAGACCAGGTTTACAGGTCAAATAGAGACTGGCAGAACCCTGAGACTATGGCCCTTGGTCACACTCTTCATGTCTGGAACTGAATTTACTACCGTGCTTCAATTTTCAGCCAAGCAATAGGGGTATGCTCACTATAGAATGGTCAATAATTTGAGATCAAAAGGGCGGCATTTACTCAGAAGGGTTAGGAAACAAGGAGGAACAGAAACCGACTGGAAACATGGAGGAAGTGAGATAAGTGATGCTACATTGAGGAGATTGAAGTCTTTGAGATGAAATGAAGTGTATGCTTTGTTGATAGTAAAACTGATGATCTACTTTGTAAACTTCTAGGCAATTCACAATAAAAAGTAAGGTGAAAGGAAAAAAAAAAGTTTTGATCTCATCACCCCAGGAAATATCCTGGGGATCCCACAGGGGTTTGCAGACCATGTTTTATAACAGGTGATCTTGTCAAGTAACACTCTGGTCCATGTCCATTTTTGTCTTTCGCCAATCACCCCTTACAGAGCTAAACATTCCTTTCTTTTCCTTTGTGCTTACTGAGTTCTAGTCCAGTACTTTTTTTCTCACCTCTTGCCTTTAATTTTGCTTTGCTTTGTACCTGAACTTAGTCAGTGGTTATGGAATGAGAGAAATTATGTAGTCAGTAAACATTTGGTGGCTGCCGTATGCCAAGTATTGTTTTTCTGAGCACTGCAAACAAGTCGGCCATCATCTCTGCTCTAGTGGGGGCATACTTTCTACTCCAAACTCATTCTGCCTCATTGACAGTGTGAGTCAGTCCCATGATTTCTGAAGCCTTGGGTTCTGTTTAGGCTAGAGTAGCTTTTGAGAATCAGCTCATTAAGACAGAATGGTCATCATTCTTCAGTCCCCATGAATCTGTTCATTCAGTGATAGAATTACATACATTTGGAGAAACTCCAAGGTGGCCTACACCACTGAATTTTTAGTCTTGAATTTTTTTTCACATCCCATCAAATTCTGTGACTTGTTTATAAACCTGTTTAATTTGGTTTGGTTTTCCTGGGCAGGATTGCCTTTGCTTCTGCTAGTTACTAAGCAAAGGAGTCTTGTGGGTAGATGTGGAAGGAGTCTGCAACAGTACGTTTTACATCCAGCTTGTGCCATTTTTCTGCTTATGTGTCTACTGTGACTTCAGGGAAGGTGTGTTTAACATGTATCTCTTAGAAGGGTTTTAATTTTAAATTGTGGAGGCTTTTGCTCCTACTCTTTTTCTCTTTTAGGCACTGACAAAGGATCCCCATGACTACCCGGACAAAAAAAACCTACCTCATGTCCATGTTGCCCTCTGGATCAATTCCCAAGGAGGCAGAAAAGTGAAAGCTGGAGATACTGTATCATATGTCATCTGTCAGGTAAATCTCTCGTGATTAAGCAAACTAAGAATAAGTGTCACAGCATGTCTTCCAAGTAAATACTGATGTCAAGAGGCAGTTTCATCTGGTTAATCCATTTTACAGCATTAAAACAAACAGGCGTAGGGCCTGTTTCATGAAGATTTTCATCAAACATTTCAGACCAGCCTATGGTTCACTGAAATTATTTTGGTGAGCCAGGCTTATAACAGTAGCTACTATTTCAACTCGAAAGTCACTTTATTGACAGTGTATAAAAGTTTGGGCGTATATACTGCAGTGCCTGCTGTCATTCCTCTTGTAACAGTTTCCCTCAAGAATGTTAGTGGAATAAGAAGAGAGTCAATGTATTTTTTTTCACTAGCGTATGTGGCGCTGGACTGCAAAGTCTGTTTGAATCGCGAGGTCAGTGGGTCAAACCCTATACGGGGTTTTCTGTATGGTCGGACTCAACAGCACTTAACAACAACATGCCAAAATAAGGCCCTGGTGTGGTGCTATATGAGAAGCACTGCACTGCTAACCATAAGGTCAGTGGTTCAAACCTACCAGCAGCAATTAGAAACCCTATACAGAGTCAATATGAGTCACATCCGACAACAAATACTCAAATAATTTCTTGGGAAAATTTGAAATGCATGATTACCTGGTGAAAATTAAGAGATTCTAAAACTGTATTTTATGAAGAAAATGAAAATTTAAACATTGCTTCTTTCTCCTTCCCACCTTTTTTTGTCTACTTCCTTGCTCTTTGAGGTTCCTATAAGGGAACCTCAAGGCCTTTTGGATCACAGTTTTAACAGCACTGAGCTGTTTCTAACGTTTATTGAGGAAAAGGGTGGGATCGAAGATCGGTGAAACAAAGGAGAGGCCTCATCTCTTTTCCCTGTTAAAAAAATTCAGTCCTAACTTCTACCTAAACTCTTTCAACTTATGCTGTGATCTGTTTACTGAAAGGCATTGGTGATCTGAATTAAGATGGGTTCTTTTTCATTATTATTATTATTTTTATCCTAATTTTTATTGCATTTTATTTTAGTCTTAAAAAAAAAAAAAGAAACTTAGATAAAGCCTTAAAATGTATTGCAGTATGACTGATTTCTGCTGATCTGCAATGTGTTTTTAAATAATAACAGCCTTTTAAAAAATGTAACAATAGTCTGCTAATATGTGCTACATACTGTAGATGATGTACGGAACAAGTGATTTAAGTCCATGGACGGGAATCAGCACTTGACTCTGTCTCCCTCCTAGGGTTACCCTTGATTAAGAACTGTTGCAGAAAGCCAATTCCTGCAGGAAAATATTTCCATAAATGTCTGACTTGCTCACGCTCTTAATGTGTTTTGCATATTGCCTCTGACAAGTCTCATTTCAAAAAAACAATTTTCATATTATGCAAATAAAGATTTTGGTAAATAGGTTAGTCCCCCCCCACCCCCACCCCTTTTCACTTACGTCTTTATATACACGGAGAAGCTCTTAGAATATTAATGACAGGAACAGATGAGAGCATTCAACCTTGGAAAAATGTGTAGGTTCTTTGAAATGGCTTCTAATGATGAAATTAAACCACAATTATGCTTTGGCTGAACCTGGAATGGAGATATATGGTGTGATGGGGGTTATGTGCTGTGAAGTTGGTTTCGACTCATAGCGACCCTGCATAGGGTTTTTGAGGCTGTAAACCTTTATAGGAGCAGAAACCTTCATTTTTCTCCCTGTGGAATAGCTGGTAGTTTTTGAACTGCTGACCTTTAGGTTAGCAGCTCAACTCTTAGCCACTATAAAATAGGATGATTAGTATATTTAAAAACCAAGCTTATGTTTTTTTTAATTTTAATATTTGAATTGTGTGAAGGTTTACAGAGAAGATCGTCATCAAGTTTCTGTTTCTTGTTGACTGTTAAGCCTTATGATTTCTTCACAGATCTAATTGAGGTACATAGGCTCAAGATATTAATGCCAACCTGTTGTATTTTTTGCAGTTCTCATCTTCTGGTGCAAATGTTGAGGATCTTGCTTGCTTTTTGAAAAGCACAATTTCGGTCTCTTGACAATTTCTGTTTCTTGTTATTAATTCTCCTTGGTGGATCCCGAGGAAGGTTTTAGGACTTTACTTTGCCTTTGACGCCTAGCAGTAGGTATAGCGAGTTTGGACATGTTAGCTAGCTAAAGCTGCAGACCTCTTTTGCTTTGAAGCACTCATGTTAGAATTTTTATGCTTCATAACTCAAACATAGTTTTTAGAATATACTTTTTTTCTTTTAAGTTTTTATTGTGAATTGAGTGAAAGTGTACAAAGCAGATCATCAGTTTTACATTAAACAAACGTTGTTTCATTACAACAATTATAATCCCCTCCATGTACCATCAGATAACAGTATTTCTCTCTATTCATTTTAGCTTTTTTTTTTCTTTGAACACTCAGACATATATAATAATTTACACCACCAAAGAGCACATTCTGCAAATCTGACTCCTGGCCACAAACTCTCAGTCCCTCTCTTCCCATGAATCTAGTGTCCTCAGCTGCTCCCTCTCTCCATGTCCCCATCTCTGCCTCCATCTCTGGTGTCACTGCTTCTCTGGATAAGGTCCCTCATTCTGCCTCTGCTCTTCTCTCTTGATGGTCCTAGGGTCCGCTGTCTCTGGACTGTAAGATTAACCACTCCCCTGTTTTCGTTACAAAACTTCTACCTTTACAATTGTGACAGTCTCTTTCCTTTCCATATAAAGTTTGTAATTGTTTTTTCCATCTCTTTGAAGAATGTCGCTGGAATCTGGATTGGGATTGCATTATATGTGCATATTGCTTTGGGTAGTATTGACATTTTCACGAATTTGAGTCTTCATATTCAGGAACATGGTATGTTCTTCCACTCCTGTAAATCTCTTTTGTTTTCCTATACTTGTTGTTGTTGTGTGCCGTGGAGTCGGTTCTGATTCATAGCAACCCTTGACAGGGCTTCTGAGGCTGTAAATCTTTACAGGAGCAGAAAGCCTCATCTTTCTCCTGCGGAACAGCTGGTAGTTTCGAATTGCTGACCTTAAGGTTCGCAGCCCAGTTCGTAACCACTACGTTATCAACTTGTTGTTGTTGTTGTTAAGTGCCATCGAGTCGGTTCCGACCCATAGCGACCCTGTACAGGGTTTCCGAGGGTGTAAATCTTTACGGGAGTAGAAAGCCTCATCTTTCTCCCGCGGAGCGGCTGGTAGTTTCGAACCGCTGACCTTAAGGTTCGCAGCCCGATTCGTAGCCACTACGCTACCAGAGCTCCTTATTAAATCAATGAATCCCATCCTTTTTCCTGTAGTAGTGTTTTGTAATTTTCTTTGTGTAGGTCCTTTGTTTCTCTGGTTACGTTTATTCCTAAATATTTCATCCTGTGGGTGGTTATTATAAATGGTTTTGCTTTCCTAATGTACTTTTCAGTGCTGTCATTGTTACTATAGAGGAATCCAACTGATTTTTCTATGTTGATCTTATACCCTGCCACTTTGCTGAATCTTTCAATGAGGTCTAGTAGTTTTTTACTGAGTCTTTGGGGTTTTCCATGTATGGGATCATATCATCTGCAAATAGAGTTTTATTTCCTCTTTGCCAATTTGGATGCCTTTAATTTCCCGATCTTGCCGTATAGCTCTGGCTAACACTTCCAAAGCAATAGTGAATAGGAGTGGTTACAAAGGGCATCCTTGTTTGGTTCGCGTTCGTAGAGGGAAGGCTTTCAGTTTCTCTCCATTGAGAGTGATGTAGGCTGTTGTATATATGCTCTTGATTATGTTTATGTATGTATGATTATGTATGCTCATGATTATGGTTTTGTATGTATCTCTTGATTATGTTGAGGAATTTCCCTTCAATTCCTACTTTGTTGAGTGTTTTTTTTTTTTTATCAGGAATGGATGTTGGATTTTATCAAATGCCTTTTCTGCATCAATCAATATGATTGTGTGGTTCTTTTCCTTTTTCTTATTTATATGGTGGATTGCACTGATTGTTTTTTTCTAATGTTGAACCATCCTTGCATCCCTTTTATGAAATCCACTTGCTCATGATGTATTATTTTTTTGATGTGCTGCTGGATTTTGTTGGCTAGGATTTTGTTGAGAATTTTTACCTATATTCATTTGGAATATTGGTCTATTCTTTTCTTTTTTAGTGATGTCTTTCCCTGGTTTTGGTATGAGGGTTATGCTTGCTTCATAAAAAGTATTAGGAAGTTTTCCGTCCTCCTCTGTATTCTGAAATAATTTGAGTAGAATTGGTGACAGCTCTTCCCTGAATATTTGGTAGAACTCACCAGTGAAGCCATCTGGGCCTGAACTTCTTTTGGTTGGGAGGTTTTTTGATGACCTGATCAATTTCTTCTTTTGTTATGGGTCTGTTCAAGTTTTCTAGTTCACTCTTTGTAAGTTTTGGTAGGTTGTGTTTTTCTAAAAATGCATCCATCTCTTCTCAGTTTTCGAATTTGTTGGTGTACAACTCTACTTAGTGTTCTGTTATTATCCTTTTAATTTCGTTGGGTTCCATCGTGGTTTCTAATGTGAGTTATTCGTGTCTTCTCCCTGTTTTCTCTGGTTAGGTTTGCCAATTGGTTGTCAATATTTTTAATCCTTTTCAAGAAACAGCTTCTTGTCCTGTTGATTATTTCTGTAGTTTTTCTGTTTTCCATCTCATTTATTTCTGCTCTCATCTTTATTATTTCTTTTCTTTTGGTGACTATAGGTTCCCTCTGTTGGTCTGTTTCTAGTTGTTGGAGATACTGTGTTAATGTGTAAATTTTGTTTCTTCTTTTTGGATGTGTGCATTTATTGCAATAAATTGTCCTCTCAGCACCGCTTTCACCATGTCTCAAAAATTTTGATATGTTGTGTTCTTATTCTCATTTTCTAGGAACTTTATGGATTCAACTTTAATTTCTTCTTTTACCCAGTTACTTTTCAGCAGGGTATTGTTCAGTTTCCATGTATTCAACTTTATTTCCATAATCTTC